AGAAAGTGCATGCATATCTCAAGTTGTTGAGTGCTGTTTATTTTTTGTAATCATTTTTTTGGGGGGAGGAAACTAAGGTATTTTTTGTTATTTGCAGCTGTTTTAGCAGCAAAGGACAATTAAACGTGTGAACAAAGTTGTCAGATTAACACTTGTCATTCACACTGCTTACAGGAAAAGTGCTCCACAACTTCCAGCAGCCCTAATTAAAATGAAGGAAATCTTCTCAGAGGGACTTGTCAAAGAAGCACGTTTTGTCACTGCTGTCTCAAACAGAGGAAAACCAAATTATTTGAAAGCTCAACATTTTCAACACCATGGTCTAAATCCACCCACTTAGAATAACAGCCCAGACTCTCAACAAACAAATCATTAACAATTCCAATTGCTTCGATGTAATACGGCCATTCAGAAAAGGATTGCCTGGAGAAGGTGAGTTTAATTTCTTTTAGAAACCAGAAAAGACAGGTGCAGGGAACATTAGTTTTCCTTTCTTTACTATCCAGCGGAGGAAGAGGCAGGTTGCTATATCAACCCTGAACCTTACCATTCCCCCATCGTCTTCTTTAACTGAACGTGAATGAAGACACTCAAGAATGATATTACCCACCTCTGGCCCCAAAGAACCCGGAACGACCCTCACCCAGGACTCAGGTGGGCCTTTCTCACCTGGGCCGCGTAGAAGTCGGCCAGTCCTTAAGCAGAGCGCACTTTTCAGCAACGCGCCTTGTGATTGGTTAAATCGGATGTGAAGTTTCAATCCTATTGGTTACTGGAGCCACTGCAGCGTCAAGGAGGCGGGAGTTTGAGGCTGTTTCTGACAGGCCAGCAGCTGTATTCCCAGAGTTTCTATTGGGTCAACTCGGGAAGGTACAAGATGGCGGCCTTGGCAAGCTGTGGCACCGGTGCCGGGAGTACTGGGTCTGTGGCGTCTACGGCGAGCAAGAACGTCACCAGTTTCCAGAGGAAGGGTACTAGAGCCGGCGGGACCGTTAGCGGTGGCTCTCGTCTGATGTCTATCGCTGGCACACGACCGTCGGTCCGGAATGGGCAGCTGCTGGTATCAACCGGGCTTCCAGCCCTGGACCAGCTCTTAGGTCGGTTCAGAACGGAGATACAGGTTCAAGAGGGGAAACCCCACATTCCTTTTGACCCGTCAGCTTCCGACCTGTAAAGGGATTTGATATTGATGGAGGGGCGGAAGGGTAGCGTGGAAACTTCAAACTTGTCTTAGTGGCCAGACTCGCACTCTCGTTCTCTGTCTGTCGTTCTCTTTGCAGATAACTGCGGAGTTTCTGCTTTCTTTTATCCTGAAATGCTTCATAGTCAAGGGAATGACTGAATGTGTAGGGACGATTTAGTCTTCGTCTAGTATCCTCTCCCTATTCTGATCTGTGGGCACACACTTCTACCATATCCCTGGAGTTCAGGGCTTGAACCAACCTAATAAACTTAACATCTGAGAGACATGCATCCATAGAAAATGCTAAAAAAAAAAAAAGAGTAATTTCCTCTTTTTCAGAGCCTGGGCTCATATCTCCATGTTCTGTAGACTTTAAGAGAACGTATGTTGACCCCAAATAGTTAATACCTATTGTCAATATTTAGAGACAGATAACCTATGTCTGCATTGAGTATATGTATTTATGTATTTATTCATTTCCTCCAGTGTATACTTTGCTTCTCCGAATTGATTGCTGCTACATGCTTTTTATCGATAAAAAGAAGTCCAGTTCTAAGGTTTCTTTTTTATACCCTTTGGAATTTTGCATAAAAAGCTTGCTGGAGAATATGCTTGTTTCATAACAGTTTTATTGAAAGACTGGCCAGAATAGATTGGTTAGAACTGAGATCTTTTGTTGATAAATCTTGTAGATCAGTTGATTTCTATCTGGAATGTTGCTTCATTAAAACTGGTATGTATTGTGCATTTCATAACCTTAAAAATGCTTCATAAGTGTCTCTTAAATCTTACGTACTTGCATAAAATATTACAAGTGTCTTTGCTTGTTCTTGTACTTCGTTTGACATTTTCTCTCTAATTTTTTCCGAAATGAGTGCTTTTCAAATGGGCTTAGGGCAGATGAAAGTGACAAGATAACCTATGAGAAACTGTTGCTTTTTGCTTCTCTTCTTCCATGACCCAACAGGACCCTGGGTTTTTTCCTACATAAATTTTACTATTTTTACTTAATTATTTCAAGTGTGTTGTTTTCCAGAGTTGCATGGTACTATAAACAGAAATGATTAAGGATAACTAATCAGCAAATATTTCTTTCACATGTTTTTTTCCTCTTGTCATCATCGTTTTGTGTCATCATGTATTTGACATAAAACTCAGAAGCTATTCCATCTCCTTGATTTTCTTTTTCATTCCAGTGTGGATATGTGATTTCATTTGCTTGATCTTGAAACTTCTCCAAAAAAAGAAAGTACTAGATGACATTTCTGGCATTATATATTCAGTTCCTCATTAGAATAACAAAATGTGCCTAACCCTTTGTTTCTTGGTATTTAGTTGATTTGTATTAAATTCTTGATCGAAAGAAAAATAAGGTGTAGAAAAAAAAGCAAGGGATTAAAAAACATGTAAAATGGAATTACACATTTCAGTACAGAAACAGACTCAGAGATTATGTGACCTAAATAGTCGCAAAGTTAGTGATGGTCTAGGCTGATATTTGGACTCCAAATCAAGTCAAATTTTTGCGACCTCTTTTCAGGAGATTTTAGCCATTTATTGAGCCTAATTCTAGTAGATTTAACTACATTTACACTTCAGGATAAGCACTGGGCGGTAATCTCAAGGTTGGCAGTTCAAACACACCAGCTGCTTCTTGGAAGATTTATACAGGGTCACTGTCAGTCAGAACTGACTCAAAAACACTTCACAACAACAATTGCTCACTTACCGACTATGGTTCTCCAACATTATGCATTTACAACAACAGTAAAAAAAACATTGGACTTTTTTTGCACAATAGCAACATCTTGCAGAAATGAATACAGAGATGTGGGGCAAGAATAATGCTGACTGATGATTAAAGTTATCTCACAACTTAGCAGGGCCATGCTTTTGCAGTTATATAATGCTGAAATTTGACAGCTGTATAATTTGATAGTTACGTAATGATGTAGTTCTCCATTTTATGGTCTGATGTGCTCATTTTCCATTTTTGCATGATGTTGCTTTTCACTTAATGGACTGGTCTTTGTAATCTAACCAGGCCATATTGAGAAAGCATGTAGAAGCAGAACAAAACCCATTGCTGTCAAGGCAATTCGGAGTCACATGACTCCATAGGGCAGACTAGAATTGCAACAGAGGGCTTCTGAGGCTGGAAATCATTATGGACAAAGACTTTCGCATCTCTTCCCCATGGAATGACTGATGTTCAAACCTTTGGCCAACCTTTGAGTTAGCAACTGAGTTCTTTAACCATTGCGACACCCTGGTTCCTAAGTTTAACTAGTGTCTCTTCAACCATTCACCAAAAAGAGAATCCAAAGCATCTTCCTTATGTGTTTGTACAGAGATAAAAATATGAACTATAATTTTTAAATTCAATTTTTCTAGATTTGAGGAACCTCTGGTATTTAAAGACAACAATGACAACAGCAAGTTTATGCTAAAAATTAATGTTCTTTAAGTTGATTGAAATGTGTGTCAGTTGTTGAACATATTGAAGTATTTTGAAGTATATTTTACATGTATGCAGTGTACAGAAGTTGATATGAAAGAGTAAATATGACCAGAAGTATAAGTGGTTGTTAATTTAATGACATTTTTGTATTTTGATTTTCCATTCTGTATAGCTCTGTGAAGCAAACACTTTCCATTTGTTTTTCATTAAAACTATTTGAAAGTGACACAGTTGGCTGTTGATGTGTTGAATATATAAGTACAACAAATTTGTAATGTATTGTGACTAACCTGACCACACTGTAACACATTGTGATGATAGTAGGATGTTATGGTGTCAGAATGATGAGTTGTGTATCTGACATTGTGATTGTTGCATCATGTGATTACTGTGTAATAAGTAAATATCATATTTTCACTGCCCTGTAGTGCAGCAACTTTATACTACTATTTCCATGACATTAAAGAGCGTAGTGATTAGAAGTCCGGCTGCTAATGTCATGGTCAGTAGTTTGAAACTACCAGCAGTTCCATGGTAGAAAGATGAGGCTATCTGCTCCCATAAAGATTTACAGCCTCAGAAACTGTACACATATTCGTTATGAGTAGGAACCTATGCCACAGCACATCACCACCACCACCACACCATGACATCATTGTAATTTTATGTATAGATGCAAACTATATTTGGAAAGTACCATACCGGTTAATTGAATGTTAGTCATGTGATGATATACTAATATTCCCATTGTTTATTCCAAAATGTTTTTTAAATCTGAAAGTTCTTGAAAGTATCATCTTTTAAACCTGAGCTAATCATATTAAATACTTTTGTTCTGACAAAGTTTTGTTGTTAGATTTTGATATAAATTTCCCAAGTTAGCTGATTTGAATTTCTCTAGATCTTAGGTTTCCTAATTCAGATTTTCAACCCTGCCCTTCCAGGACATTTTATTATTTGAAGCCACTATGTAAATAACACAAACCAATATTTTCTAAAAGGAAAGGGACTTGATGAGATAGATAATCCTTTTTCCTTTCGTCTAGGAATTTCCAAAGAAAGATTGTATAGCATATAAAGGAGAGTCAGAATTTCTTTTTTTTTTTTTTTTGAGAAATAAAACGTAGTACCTATTAGGATTGCATGTCTAACCTAAACAAATTATTCTGTATCCTCAACCTTCAAAAAGATATTTGTGGGAAAAGTGAACTCTTGGCCTAACGTCTGTTTCAAAATTTCATTTTGGCAGTCAAATGAATGGCAGATAAGAGTGTGGTATAAAATATTGTCCAGAAATAATACTTTGGAAGGAGCTTGATAGTAGCTGCCATTTTCAACATTTATATAAAAAATAAATGCTGGTGATCTTGTTTTCTTAATCTGTAGTATGGGTTAATGTATGCTGAGTTTGCACTACATATACTTTAGCAATCCTGGCTATGATATTTTTGGAACTGATAGAAGTAGTTGAACAGTTAGGAAAAGGAAGCTTATTCCTTTATATTATTATGCAAAATGATTTCTTATAGTTTTATTTATAGACTCATTATCACTATAGCTTTCTCTATTTGTCCAGTAGTTGGGTTGTTTCATACCTCTCATAGAAGAAAATGTAGACTTGTTATTGAAATAGCTACAAGTTGGTGTGTGGCATCAATGAAGTAGTTAAGGATATTACTGTGAATAGTTTTGATTTTTACATATATTTTCCCCAAAATACTTTTTCTATAATTATAACCAAAATTCATTAGAGATTTGTATTTTGGGGAAGGAGCCCTGGTGGAAGTGTTAGGCTGCTAACTGAAGCTACCAGTTACTCCATGGGAGAAACATGAGACAGTCTACTTCTGTAATGATTTTAGCCTCAGAAACCTGTGGAGCAGTTTTATTCTTACTCCTACATGGAGTGCTGATGTGGTGGTGGTGGGTAAGAACTGGACTGCTAATTACAAGTTCGGTGGTTCAAACCCACGAGCTACTCCTTGGAAACCTGATATGGAGTTTCTATGAGTTGAAGCCAACTCAAAGGCACCTAAGGACAACAACAGAGGATCACTATTAGTCAAAATTGACTTGATGACAAGTGGGTTTGGATGTTGTTTGTTTTTTGGGGGGTATGCAGGGGGCTAAGGAGGAACAAAGTGCTTCATACTGTAAATTATGTTAGAAGGTTTTTGGCAATTAGCTAGATCTTAAATTTTATGAAATCATTTTTGTAAGGTACTGACTTGTTTTTCTTGTTTGAGATAGCAAAGATGTGTGTAAAATCTGAAACTAATATCCTCAACCTTTCAGATTCAGAACATTCTAGTCTTGTATGTAGATAAAATACTGAACTTGTATTTTCAGTAAGCTGGAGATAAATAGAATTCTTAAAGAGATCTACATATAAAACCAATGGTCTCATTTTTTTAATGGTTTAGAAGGTACATTAGTGATTTCTCTAAGTCATG